CAATTTTCGTGAGTTTGCAGTCTGCATTGAGTATGTTTTATGCATTGAGTGATTTCCTGTACTTTTTTTCAAATGCAGGAAAGGGGATTATAATCGATACTTAGCGGAGTTTAAATCTGGCCAAGAACGCGAAGAAGCTGCAGACCAGTCGATGAAGGCTTATGAGGTAAGGTCAATTCTTTTTTGTTTCATGAAGCCTCTATATTTCGTTTCCATTTTCATCTGTCTCTCTTTTTCTGTCTTTTTTTCTCTTCAACTTTCCTATGTTTATTGTCAGATTAGTAATCGAAGTTTTAATTTCTGATGCAGTCTGCCTCAAGCATTGCAAGCTCTGATCTTCCTCCAACACATCCAATCAGACTTGGCTTGGCGCTTAACTATTCTGTTTTCTACTATGAGATATTAAATTCCCCAGAGAGGTTGATTTTACTGATTTTACCTCTGAACTTCTCTGTTTTCTACTACAATATGCTGTTATCTCACCATCTCCAATATTATTATTGCTTGACAGGGCATGCCACCTTGCTAAACAAGCTTTTGATGATGCCATAGCTGAGCTTGATGGCCTCAATGAAGAATCCTACAAGGATAGTACCCTCATCATGCAATTGCTGAGGGATAATCTCACGTTATGGACCTCAGATCTCCCAGAAGAGGGAGGTAGATTTCCATGAATCCTTCTTTCCTGTCCTTACCTACAATCGAGCTTCATTTGTTCTATATCGATAATTGAAACGGGCTTTTAAGTTACACGTCTCAGTATAAATATATATTAGTCATAACTTTCTTAAAAGAATCACCTGAGGTTGGGGATTGTCGTGGTATATTTCATGAGAACTGTTTACAAGAACAATTTTTGTTTAATTTACGATATGTCCTGTCCACTAGCATCAGCTTCGATATATTGAGCTAGTACCCGAAATGTATTTCATTTAGATACAAATTAGATTTAGTCTAATATAATCAGTGCTTGGGAGCTATTAAAAATTACCATGATTTAAATGGAATTTCTTCTGGAAACTTTGTTCAAACTTTATCGACCTTTAGTGCTTTTGTTTAGTATTTTTAAGAAACTCTGATACTAATTTTTTGTCTCAGTCCATGCGTGTTCAAGTTGGCACTTGAGCATTGTGCAGGCATTGGCTATGAATAAAATTTTTGTATACGTTTGCAACCTAACCTTCTATTATAATTACCGCAGGCGAGCAATCTAAAGCTGCTGATGAACCTTGAGCAGAGGCACGATATTCGAACTCTTCGGTTAGTCGGGGACATCTGCTTTAAGTACTTGGAACAATTATTTACCACCTATATATTTGCAGCTAATTACTGTTGGCATGGTTCTAGGAGGCAGGGCATATAGCTGTGCCACTTTTCTTGCTTATTATTAGTAGTGTACTAGAACAGTAATCTGTTATCACTTTGAACCATTAGCTTTAAAAATTAAGTGAATCTGTTTAGTTTGAGAAATACTATCTACTTGATTGACTGATTACCTGGTTGCAATATTGTGCTTTAATATCTTTATATGTTCTCACAATCTTTTCTGGTTCATAGAAAGACTTTTGGAATAGAATGGGCTCATACTATAGAACTCATGGTCTATTTTTGATGCTGGCCTTTGATCCAGTAGTCATCGGATGGAATTGTTCCATACATGAACGGTGGGGGGTTTTCCCACCTCGATTGGAGAGAGAAACGAAGCATTTCTTGTAAGGACGTGAAAACCTCTCCCTAACAGACGTGTTTTTAAAATTGTGAGGCTGATGGCGACATGTAATGGGAAAGAGTGTACATATCTGCTAGCGGTGGGCTTGAGTTGTTACAAATGGTATCGGAGCTGGACATTAGACGGTGTGCCAGCGAGAACATTGAGTCTCCAAGAGAGGTGGATTGTAAGATCTCACATCGGTTGGAAAGAGAAACAAAACATTCTTTATAAGGGTGTGAAAACCTTTCCCTGATAGATAGGTTCTAGAATCATGAGGTTGACGGTGATACATACGAGTCAAAGTAAACAATATCTGTTAGCGGGGGAGCCTGAGCGGTTATGGGTTTAATGCTCCACCATGTGAAACAGAAACATCTTTTGCACTTCCATTTTCACTCTCATCGATAAGCAATAAAGAAATACTTTTAACTTCCAGGACATCTGAAACCAGTGGCACAGATTTTTGGTTATTAGCACATGGTTAAAGATTTCCAAGTCTGGAACTCCTTGGAAAATCGTGGCAAAATGGAAAATGCCAAAAGAATAAACCCTTTTAAGAAACTTAGTTGTTTAATATGGGCGAGATAATAACTTCTCTAATTGTCAGCAGGTTCAAAATTTCTCCGCTTGTTTGTCGTACTATAAACGATCATTAGACCACTCCAGCTTTTGATGTTGTTCGAGTGTGTTTTCCTTGATGATGTTGTTTGTGAGCTTGAAGTGCCCAGGGGAGGCTAAGAATAAAGCAGGAAAGAAACCAAATGGTTGAGAAACTCCTTGGGCTCCTCTGAGTTGAAGGCATGGCCTGCATTCTTGACAATCACAAGCGTAGCATTGTCCCCCAAATGCCTACTCCAAAGAGTGGCAAACACATTCATGATTTGGCTCTAAACTCAACAATATTTGATGTATCCTTTGCTTTGCTTTAGGGAGTTGGAGTACTCACCGTTTCAATCTGTGACCCAATTCTAATGGAAATACTTCATCATGTTCTCCCCACAGTATCATCGTCCGCTGCAAACAAGTTGAACTTTCAAGTTTTTAAGTTTCAAGTCTTTAAGTTCAAGGTGTTTGAAAAATGTTAAATATAAATTTGATTCTCCGTTCGATGATGCTTCAAATTTTCAAAAACCTATTAGACATAAAATTGTAAGACACAAAATTGAAAGCACAAGAATCTAATAAACATTTTTTAAAGTTTATGGACTTATTAGACTTTTTTTTTTTTTTTTAAGTCTGACACAAACTTGACCGTCTAAAGACGGTTTAAAAGTGGCTTACTTGACTCAGAGTATAAAACAACTCTACTTTTCGAACTTTCTCGAGTTCATATAAAATAAACAATCAAATATAATCGTATCGAGTTCTCTTAAAATAAACGATCAAATGTAATCGTAATTGAAGAGAATGAAGGGTAATGACCTGGTGAATCTTGGGAAGGTCTGAAAGCTTTCTTCCTTTGGGGATAGTTCGAATCAGCTCTCTCTTTTCATCAATATGGTCCAAACACATTGACTACCACAAAGCTCAAAGATAAAACTAATCAAATTAACATAAAAATGAGATTGTTACTTACAAAACTATAAGTTTATAAAGTATGATTTCGCATAGCTTAAAATTCAAGCCTTACCTCAATGAAATCATTGAGCAAACAAGAAGGCATCAGCCGCATCGGCGGTGGCCGGAAAAACGAGTAACCCACCAACTGTTTAAGCTTCTCAGGCTTTTGGGGCACCAAAATGGCTATGGCCTCCTCCAAATCAGACACTCTCAACAACCCATCTTTGAAATCCTTCTCTTCCACACAAACCCCAGCGCAACAAATCACCACTTTTTCCACCATATCAGGGCACAGCGCCGCCATGCTATACCCAACAAACCCCCCATAGCTGAGCCCCACCAAGCTGAGCTTCCCCACCGAGTTAGCCTCCATAACTCGGATTAGACACTGAGCTTGAAACCACTCTGTTCTGTCGGGGTTTGTGGAGAAGGAGTCGCCAAAGAAGATCAAATCAGGCACGTAGAGATTGAAATGAGGGACAAGGGTAGCAATGGAATCCCCCCATTGCCAAAGTGCATTAGCCCCAATTCCATGGATTAGCAGCAGATTGGGCTTGGAGTGAAGTGGGTTCTTGGGGACCCAGCAATGGACTGTGGTGCCGTCGTTGAGATCTGTAATGGTGGATCGGAGGCCGCATTTGGTGAAGCGATGGCGATGGTACCAATTCTTGGTCTCTGTGATGCTGAAGAAGAAACACCTTGTCATTTGAGGAACATCAAAAACAAAAATCAGAATCAGAATCAGAATCCAAATCCAATCAATGAAGACTCAGATTCAAGAACCCAGAAGTGTTTCAACGTGATAAGCATGTTCTGAATGGATCGAATAGTTATTGAGATAACTTCATTTAATGTTTTTTCTGTGGAAATTGGAATAGGAGAAGTTGATATTGATGGCTATGAAGGAGTGGGTGAGAGGGTCTGTAAATGGTGAGCCATTCGTTTAGGGAATTTTTTCCAGTTGTAATTTGTAAAGAGATAACTTCCAAGGCGACCCATCTACTTTGGTGGTGGCAAAGGATCCTCCATTGGAACTCCAGACCTGTCTCAATCATTGAGAAGACAAACAAATCAGCATAAAAGCATGTGCTCATTTTGTATTGGTTCGACTTTGTATTTTTTATATGACTATTTTGTCCTTTGATAAATTACTATATTATAACGAGATCAAAGTTACGAGTTTAACTAGAAAAAAAAATGAAGAGACCAAAATGATTCTTTTTAAAGTATAGAGATGAAAAAGAATTTTTTGAAAGTTTAGAGAGTAAGCTATACGAAAGTTTAAAAGGTACAAACAAAATTAGATGTAAATAAATTTAGATGTAAATAAATATGAATAGGCCAAAATAATATTTAAACCACAAATTATTTATTCGTAGATAATTTAGAAGCTTTGGATTTTCCTCTGATCTAGGGAGATCATTGTGTGGTTTTGTGCTATAAGAGCTTCTCCCAAGTTGAGACCTATGGATCAGGATGATATTGTTGTCTACTAACATCACTAGTTGGTGTTTGTGTTTCGACTAGGACTACACTACCAAGTTATGGTTCTCTTGAGCCATTAGAGAAACAATCTCTGGTTACGTTGGGAGTTAAAACCCTTTCCTGACTCGACGTCGAGACTCGGGAGAGATGCCTTCTCCCAACGCTAGCCACCCGCTACCATGAGCTACACCATATGAGGGCAACATAGGTTATCCTAACAGCCAGTTGAAGCTGAGCTTTGGGAGATTTGAATAGAACTACCTGTCTCATAATAGATCATGTTCTTGTTCAGATTATCGGCTACAACGGCCACATCGAACCCCAGCAAAATCTTCAAAATAAACTGGGGCCTAAATGGAATAATGTTGCAAGAATTACATCTTCATATGATGCATGATGTGGTCAAAACGATTGCATGCTAATTCTATAGCAGGTAATGGTCACCTAACACTAAAATACTATGTAGTAAGAAAATTCTTGACTTAAAATTACACAGATTTGGCACATTAAAATCCAGTGTAGTATGAAGCTCTTTTAATCTTGCTTGCCGTTCTTGCAGCGTGGTGTTTCACAGGGGGGTGGGGGCACACCAAAAACCCAATCAAGAACGTTCAAATACTTGGATCGAAATACCGCCCGTTCCTGAGCATAGCAGTGCATTATAATGGAGGTTGATAAGCTGAAAACTATCACATCCGCTCGCTTGAAATTCAACGATTGTGGTAAGTATCCCAAATCTGTCATGCAGCTGAAGAAGCTCTCGATACCTCTTGCAAGGCAATAGAGTGAGATTTCAATCCTCCTGCTCTTCTTCTCAATGGCCAGAGCCAAACCCGTTAAGAACTGCTCAAAAAGCATGATTTTTTTTCAGACCTTAGCAAATGCTCTTGCTCTACCTAAAATTAATTGTAAAGAATGGTTGAAGCTATACCGTTGCCACTGCAACCAATGGAACGTTTATTTTCTGGAAAGTCCTTGCGGTCAGGCATGTCCATATCCTGAAAAGTAGGTGGAAAACTTGATGTATTAGAGCTAGAGGCTAATGTGTTTATCTGAACTCATAATAACTCCCAAAAAGTGAAACTTTGAAGTGGCTTGAAAATCTTTTTGAGAGGCCAAAGGGAAAAGTTAAGGCTTTTAATTGCGGAATCAAGAACCTCCAAGCTCGTCTAATATTGATATACTATCCGGTATGGAGTTTTGCAATCACAAAGAGAACGAACAATATAGTTTATAGTTTCAGCTTTCGATCTATAGAACACTTCACAGCCTACTCGTAGTTTATGCTTCAGGATACAGTTTTCGGATAGCCAAAGGTAAATTTATGAACACAACTATGTTTTGTTCCCTGCCAATCTATGAAAACATACCAACTAAATAAAAACAATTCCCATCACCATGGTTTATGCTTGAAATTATTTCTTTTCACAAAATTAATATGCATCGAAACCTTTTCAGCAAATATTTGAAGATTCCATACAGCAACACCAGCCAGCTTTTCTCTTTGAAAATAATGATACAAATTATTATATCCTATCCATTAAATTAATATTTTGAGAGACTTTTATCAAGTCTTAAAGCGAAACGAGAAGTTTCACAGAAAAAGTGGAAGAAAATAGTAACGACAAGAATAGAAGCCAATTCACTAGAATATAGGGGGGAGAGATACTAACCAAGCAGACGCACAATATACAGAAAGGAACAGACTTGATCTAGCAGTTCCAAGAAGCCCCCTTGCTAAAATTTCGTATGGCCTGCACAAAAGATTATCCATCGGAATCATGGAACTTCAGAAATACAAAATAACGGTTGGAAAAAGGCAGCCAGAAAAGTCATCTCAATAAGTAAATATTCCGTAACAATCTTCCAGGGCAAGATTATATCCGCCAAACAGTGAGGTAATCTAATTAGTTGTTCAACTATGAATGAATCAAACAACCATATAAGCCAGGAACTGTATCCTGCATGTTTGAATGTTCAATGTGAAACCCAATAAAACGTTTTACCACCGAAAGGTTTGTATCAGTAAATTTTCATTCTTCTTGAATATTATTTGCGACAAAGGTGTAAAAAGAGTCGGGAAAAAAAACCCTCATTTGCTCATGAAATAAAATCATATGAAGGCACTCGAGTAACTAGTGAGTTTAACTCCATATCCTGGAAATTATTAAGTGGCCTATTTATGACATAATCGGTAATCTAGTCAATCTTTCAACCAGACCAAGCGGTGGAAATATAAAACCTAACTTGAAATCATTACTTCTAATTCTAAACTGAACCAACACATTTCACAATATGAATAAATCAACTGATATTCAAATTGAAATATTACCTATTCATGAGACCTTGACGATGAACTATTAGGGCTGGGATAAGATATACAGGGAGATAAACCGGCAACGCTCTTTTATATCCTTCAATGATAAAGGAAAGAAAATGGCCACCACATGATTGATTTCCATGTATAATCTGTATTAAGAAAATGAAGAATTCTCAAAGACTAAAAATATTAAAATCGAAAGATAATTGCAGATAGTTGAGGTAAACTCTCAAAAGCACATTTCACTTTTCTAAGCAGGACGCTTGATAATCATTTCATGCTGCAGATATCTAGTTATCATCACAATTGGCTCCTACAATTTGCGAGATCACAAAATGAACTAGATAAATTCTATGCAATGCCTTGGTACAAGCCTCCAAGTGGACCGATTTATAACATAATCTTTGTTTTCTCGAAATATTAGCCTCCGCCCACCCCAAGAATTTACACATTAAGTGCTAACATCTTTCGTGCAACACATAAGGAACAACTAATTTTACTTTCAAAAAACAAAGAATTTCTTCTCTTTTTTTTTCTTGATGAACAGAGATCAACACAAAATAGATAAATATATACCGTGCATGGAGTCTTCATTCCCGGATCTAGTTTGACGTGAGCACCCTTAGTCTGGTAGTACTTTTCTATCGCATTAAATTTATTAGAAGGCATGCCTAATATAAAGCTCTTTAAACCTTCCAAGATTACAGTATCCTTTCCACCATGAGTATTGAGAAAGGACCTAAACGATGGTGGTAAGCTATCTTGCTTTAACACATAAGCAGACCTGAAAATGATTCCCCTAATTAACTCCCTGCTATTATAATCAGTAATCACTTCTTATAGATACTAAAAGAAATAGCACAAAATAGCTTCATATACCAGCATATAGTAGAAAAGTACCGAATGTTTCATCTGGGTGATAAAGAAATGACTAAAATATTTCATCTAGTTGTTGGCCAGAACTTCTGGTTTGTGAACCTTTAATTAGATTAGAATTCCAAGAAAGCTTATTACGCTTTCAGCTGCATTCAATCCAAAAATTCATTTTGTTCGACTGTTACATTATTAGTACATAATTATGACAATACAAGTCATTCACTGGTTTTCCACCTTCTTGCTTGCGTTTGCTTAAGTGTACTAAGGATCAGGTGTTGTGATTTGTGGGCTAGAAGCTAAATTAATGATTCAGACACTACGATCATGTAGGAAAACATGCAACGGGATGAGTAAAGCTTAAAACGGGAAATTGACAATATTATAGAACACTCTAGACCTATTTCATTTGAATTAGCAGCGAATTATGGTACGGCAGAAACATTTCTTACAAGATTTGCGAAGAGGAGAGGCACATGAGGAAGATGTCACCATATGACCATGTGAGAGGCTTACAAATATGCCCGAGCCGCTTGCTTTCAATCCCACAGCGCGATGCCAAGACCGCAGCACGCATAAAAATGTAGATAGCCAAGGTCTTATGTTGCGTATTTAATCCAGTCAGAAGCATCGATGGCCCAGCTAATGCTCCCGCTACTAGAGCCCTCCATCTTGCAGTCCTGAACTACAAGACAACACTAAAACAATCAAAAGGATAACAAAAATATAATCAAGAAACAGATAAGATTTAGGATTACAAGATCAGAATAGAAAAGAGTATACCTCCGGTGGCCTGCCAGATTGCCTATGATCTCATCGATGGAAACGAATGTACCAGCAAAGGTTCCAAGAAAGAGGCCGTATCTCAAAGTCTCCTTCAAAGCCATGGAAATCGCATCTCGATTCGTAATCACTCCTTTCTTCCTAAACCAAACATAATCCAGTAACATACTTGTTTACAGCAAAAATAAAGGCACGGTAGCACGCAGATGAACTTCACAACCAATTTTCAAACAACCATACCCGAGGGAGGCCAAGGCCTTTCTCCGCTTCAATCCAGCGAGGACAGAGAAGAGAGAGAGTCCACCTTTGAGACCAGCTCCGATTGTGAAGCCTTTAGCAGAAGCAACAAGGATCCGCCATAGCTTTCCCGACTCACTCAACCGCGTCGAATCAGACCATAGAGAAGAGGAAGAGCACGAAAACACCGGCAAAGAAGATAAATCCGCTGAACCACAGCCACAATGATCACAATAAGAATCACTGGATTTACAGTTGCCAACTGCTCTGACATCCCCATTCTCTTTAGCAAGACATGCACATCCGCCGTCGGCAACGAAGCATCCGACGGCAGACGGCGACATGATGGCCCCTGAAGCGGAGGCTAGGACTCGCCCCCTCTCTGCGACCGTGAATCGATTGGGCAGAGGAAGTGAGATCCCAAATGCAGCCGGAAGGAATTGGCGGATAAAACAGAGCAGCTTTGTGCTTAGTTCTTAAGCATGAATTATCGTTGAATCCCAATGAGTTTGCGACTCTCAACCCATTTTTCACTTTTTCCTCTCTTTTTCTTCTTCTTCTTCGCTTTCTCTATTTATTATGCGTTTAAATGGAGGGAAAATAATGGCATAATTCACCAATAATTTAAATCTGTATTAATAAAAATAACTCCAAATATTTTAAAACTTTATTTCACTAATATTCTTTAAATTTTTAAAAAGTTTAAAAATATCATTTTGGATCCATATTATATTTAAAAAATACTATTATAAGAAAAAAATAAATTTATAGACCTAAATGCTTAATTAATCATTTCCAAGTTTTTTAATTTTTTTTAAAATATAGATTCAAGGGAATTTTATTTTCTTTTTAAGTCTGTGTAACATTGTGATTCTTGTTCAAAAAACGAATGGAAGGCATTTGAGTTATTGGCTCGGCCAATCTGACAGCATTCATGAATCGTTTGTTCAATTGTCTTGAAGACACGGTTTGTATCACAGTGAAATTAAAGTAATACTATGATTCTTACTCAAAAAAACAGATCGAAAGCTTTTGAGTTATTGACTTGATCAACTCGACCACATTCATGAGTCGCTGAACTATCTGAGAACCGGTTGCAAAATGGTACTCATTCTAGTTGTCTGGACTTGCATTTGAAGCTGCCTCCTGATTACTTCAAATGACTATGTCACTGCTTCAGCACAAGCTCTAATCGGTCCCAACTCCAGTTTGGTGGATGTATGATAGCATCGGACAAAAACCCGCCGTTAGCAATATGAGGTGTCATGGTTATTTTTGTCCAAAGCGTGTTGTCTATGATCGTACAGTCGTTGCATGTCAAACCCTTTGTGTTGTTTCTTTTTATGTTCTCTAAGTGTATGATGTTTCGGTGCAATCATGTCTACGTCTGGTATACATGAAATGCCTCACAATGTACTCTAGGGCGATGCGACTAGTCGTCAATTATTTCTATTCGGAGTCATATATATCTAAGTTGTTGTATTGCCTTCTTTGCTTGCTAACTCATAACATAAAATCTCTCTGACCCTGTTTTCCAAAACTTTTTTCTTAAAGCAATGTCATAGGTCTGGGTATACGTCGGCCGGTAGAAGGTGACACGATTTCGCGTTGGCTGACTCATTCAGTGGTAAGAGTGAGTGCCACACAATTGCTTGCAAACCGTCTCGTAAGAGTGCGATTATGACACGAGGCTTCTTCCACCACCACAAAACTTCAAATAACACAGGTTGATCTCGACGACAGAACGTAGCATCTTGGGTTCAATACTCGAAGTTCAATCAGTTTTGTTATTTCAATTGTGGAGGCCACCCCTTACGTCAATTGAGAAAAGTGCCCAACTCCCTAGGAGACGGGTTAGGGTGTTCCACTAGCTGGAATACACCCTATTGAGTCAATGGAGTCAAACCCGAGCTACACGAGAAATCTTTCGTACATTTATTTAACATGCACTAAGCCTACTTCAAATGGGACGAAAAATATCCGTTATAATAGGAAAAGAAGCTATAGATACTATTGATACAATGTTCAAAAGGACGTGACAATGACTTAAAACGAAAAATCGGACCTAATCATTACCACACTCGTTTCAAATCTGAACAATGTGAAGTTGTTGAAAGGTAGATACAATATTTATCAGCTCACGTGATTTTCGTTTATTGTTAACCAAATTTAATTATTTCTAAAATTAAAACCTACCCCAATTCATATATTAATTCTTCAACTGCCCTCTTTTTCTTTAATTTCATTTATTTTAAAACTTTAATTTTGTGGTCAGGGTTTCACCACATTTAATATTTTATTTTTCTAATTAAATATTTTCTTCCCTTATAGTTTTTCATCATTAATTGTATCCAAATATAGCTTTTTTTTCTTTTAAATGTCGAGCGCTCTCGCTGCCCACCTACCTATCTATTCGTGCTCGTAACCTGATCGAAAGCTAATAAATACATGTCCATCTCGAATAGTCCGTAAATTATTTAGTAATTTTTTTCTACTGTTGATGACGTTTGAGCTCTATGTTTCATGTTTTACATTTTAACCGTGTATTAAACATTTTTAATCTCGTTATAAACAACATTTCAATATTTATAACAAATTAAACACAAATTAAGCATGTTTTGTTTTCTTCTAATTTAATAATAATACAATTATTACTTTAATTACCAAGAAAGGTGACGCCGGCGCTTGAGTATCGCCGGTGGAGTTTGCTCCGGCGGCGAGTTCATGAATTTGCAGTTAGGACACTCCGGTGAAGATTTACTCAGCATTACCAATAAGTGGCATTTAATGCAAACGGCCGCCACCATCACAGCGGATGACCCGTTGTTTACGGCTCGACGCCCTCCTTGAGTTGTTTGATTATTATTGTTCTTGTCGAGCGATTCGCAAGTCAGGTTGAGTTCGAGGTCCAAACTCGTGTCGTTGTCGTCTTCTTCCTCTTCCCCCTCGTCTTTATCGAGCTTATCTCTAGGATCTTTCCATGTTTTTTTTTGAGTTGTCGTATTGTAGAAGTGTATCTTTCCCGACTAAGGAAGAAACGAAATCATCGCTAAACTCAAAAACTAAGGCTCGTTTTGAAATTTGAAAGGGGTTTTTAAGGAAAAAGAAAATACCTGAATGTCGAGGCATCTTTGCCAATCGGAAGGCAACGGAGTTTCGAGGTGAAGCTCGATATCGAACATGGAGTTTAGCAATGTCGGTGGTGTCGACGTTGGCTCTTCCCACTTCCTCTTCTTAGCTAAATCATTTAGAGAAGTGTGGGATTGGAAGGGAACCATGGCTCCAAATTTAATGGCTGTTTTCTTGAGTGTTTGAGATGGGTTGATTATATAGAAGAAGTTTGGGGGTTAAAGACTGCAGGTGAGGATCTTAAATAGGGTGGAAACTTCTCTCCCTCGAGCTCCGATAAAACCTTGCCCCAAAGTGTGTTACAGGTGGCTGCAGGAATGCGACTAGTTGTCAATTCTTTCTATCCGAGTTATATGTTATCAATATCGTTGTTGTTACTTATTGCTTGCTAGCTTAAAACGTTGTTTTCAGGCGTGTTTTAAAATCCTTGAAGGGAAAGCTTGAAGAGAATAATATCTGTTAGCGATGGGTTTGAGCTGTTACAAATGGTATCAGAGCTAGACACTGAGCGATGTGCTAGCGAGGACGCTCGGCCTCCAAGAGGGGTGAATTGTGAGATCCCACATTGGTTGGAGAGGAAAACGAAACATTATTATAAGGATGTAGAAACATCTCCCTAACAGACGTGTTTTAAAACCTCACGGGGAAGCCCTGGAAGGGAAAACCTAAAGGGAATAATATTTGCAAGTAATGGGCTTGGGCTGTTACAAATGGTATTAGAGCTAGACACTGAGCGGTGTGTTGGCGAGGACACTGGGCCTCCAAGAGGGGTGAATTGTGAGATCTCACATTGGTTGAAGAGGAAAACGAAGCATTCCTTACAAAGACGTGAAAACCCCTCCCCACAAACGCGTTTTAAAATGAGATGCCCTAGAAGGGAAAGTCCAAAAGAACGATATCTACTGATGGTGAGTTCGGGCGGTTAAAAAGAAATAATTTGATGGCAGTTTTGAGTTCGATAACAGTACAAAAGTGATATCGTTGTTGATTAAATTAGACAACGATATCAATATAATGACATGTTTTGTCTTTCTTCTATTGATCATAATAACTAATTTATTTTTCCCATTTATTCCTATAAAGCATGCATTTTTCTCCAATTGCCCTTCATTGGTCCCAAAATGTCCAGTTTTTGAGTGACAATAATGTGCATTATTGTTTAGTATAATGTTTTTGAACCCAACAAGGGGCAGCTGCCCTTAATCTTCATTTCCCAAGAACAGGCAAAGGTGCTTTAAGTTACACAGTTGATAACCCAACCAAAAAAAACCAGACAGACAATAAATTAAGGTTTCTCTAGATATGGTTGTAATTCATCAAAGGTTGTAATTACTCCGTTACCTTAAAAAACCATGTAGATATATGGGTGTTTGCCTGATTTGTGACATTGGGTAACAGTCCAAGTTCACCGCCAGTCGATATTGTCCTATTTGAACTTTTCCTTTGGATTTCCACGCTTAATGCTTTGTTCTCCCCTCCAATGAACGTGGGATCTTACAATCCACCCCCGTGGGGCCCATCGTGCTTACTGGCACATTGTCCGGTGTCTAGCTCTGATACCATTTGTAACTGCCCAAACCCACTGCTAGTAGATATTGTCCGTTTTGACCCGTTACGTATTGCTATTAGTCTCACGGTTTTGAAACACGTTTGCTAATAATAGATTTTCACATTCTTATAAGGAATGTTTCGTTCTCCTCTCTGACTAATTTGGAATCTCACACATTCACGAGCATATAACATGTAGTCTTTTACACATGTCTACCCTATCAAGCAATGCACATAAACATAACGCTTTTGAGGCCGATAATTGTGGATGAGAATCGAACCAATTATAAAAGTCAAATTTGTGGCCTTAAGACTTCTCTCGCCTTGTCAATTTGAACATTAACTTAGTAGATAAGATGTTAATTATCATTTCAAAGATCAACGGTTTGATTTTTTATCCGAACTCAAAAAATGAAGAGAAATTAACTTTCTGTACCTAGAGATGTCCAAGGCCCCGATCCCAAACATTTACATACGAAAATGGTGAATAATTCTCCTCGTGAAACTCGATCCCCACAAATTCCTTCGAGATCTGCGTGACGATAAATGAGAATTTTTACGAGAATAAGTAATAAATTAGGGGTTTTAACCGTCTCCACCTTAGATATCTATATTTTTACCCTCGTTCGTCTAAAAAATATATTTAATCAACATGAGTATAGTTCAATTTACATATGAAAATGGTAAATAATTCTCCTCGTGAGACTCGATCTCCATAAATTCCTTCTAGATCTACATGAAAATAAATGAGAAATTTTACGAGAATGGACAATAAAATAGGAGCTTTAACCGTCTCCACCCTTAGATATCTATACTTTTACGCTCATTCGTCTAAAAAACATATTTAATCAACATGAGTATAGTTCAATTTACATATGAAAATGGTGAATAATTCTCCTCGTGAGACTCGATTCCCACAAATTTCTTCTAGATCTACGTGAAAATAAATGAGAAATTTTACAAGAATGGACAATAAAATAGAAGCTTTCACCGTCTCCACCCCTTAAATACTCTACTTTTACCCTCATTCGTTTAAAAAAGATATTTAATCAACATGAGTATAGTTCAACCGTAATGGAACGAAAGTTTACCTGCCTTCATTAATTGACCTTGAATTCACTTAAATGCAGAATTGAAGGACTGACATTGAAATTGAATCAACTCTTCTTCTCTTCAACATCTTCCCTTCCTCACTCTCATCAAACCACCAGCTTTCTCTCTGTTTAATGCTCTCAACCCATCTCACCCTCTCTTCCATAACTCAATTCTCTTCTACACGTAATCTCTGCGACCTACTCGACCAAAATGGCGACGACGACGATGAAAATTCGATATCCAGAGAGCGCGTTTATTGCTTTACGTGAAGATCGAGGTTGCTCGGATTTATGATCGACATTATTTAGCATGTGTGTGGGCAGAGAAAATGAGTTTAAATGGTTTCAATGATATAAGGGTTAATAAATTGTCAATCGAGGTTATAAATACGAGGGAGTTGGAGATAAGACGGTAGGTGTCATAGTTAGTATATATATATATATATAAATGTTAATTTTAGCATAACTCAAATAATTGAAATTTTCATTGATTATTATAAGAGGTAAGGGTAAAAGAGACATTACACACAAATAATTAAAATACATTAATATTATTATATTTATTTGGAAAAACTTGGTGAGTGGAGTGGTGAAATGGGCCGAGCTGACTCTCGGCCCAGTTTCGCTACACTTCATAAATGGGCTGCCTTCAGGTTTAAATTAGGAAAATTGCGGTATTTTCATTTTTCTATAATGATTTTAATATAAATTACAAATTACAAATATATTTATATAAAATATTTATCATTAATTTTAGTCTTATATTTTTCTAATATTATTTAATTTTTGTTAAATTATTTTCGGTAGGGTGAACAAAAAGATGGATCCTAGAACATCATTTCCCGCTCCTCAAAATATTCCGAAGTTTGTTCCTCCTTTCGTAGTTCTCCAGGTGCAACATTTTAACTGAGCTCGGGAGTAATGCAATTCTTCAAGTGCAGCATTTTAACCGAGCTCGGGGGTAATTCAGTTATCCAAGTGCAGTATTTTAACCGAGATTTCAAGACTCGATAGCGTAGAGAATGAGCGAGGAGCCATCATTTTTAACCATTGTTTTTTAAAACAAGGGTCGTTTATCTATTATAGATAAAATTAGGGACCTTCCATGAAATATACACAAAATTGTTAGAATCTCTTGTTCCATCAGAGACCTAGTTGAGCTTGAGCCCTGAATCCGCCGCTGCTGCTCGCCACTCTCTCCATAGCTGAATCCATTAGTTGCAGAGAGAAATGTCGCACTTCGGAAGATCCGGTCCTCCCGACATCAGAGATACCTACTCGCTTCTCGTCCTCAACATCACTTTCCGTATTTTCGACCCCTAATTCTTCTCTTATCCACTTTCTTTACCTTCAACCTCATCTCTTCCTCTCTGTTTTTTCTGTAATTTCTTGTCCCTTTTTTGTTTTCCAGGAACCACCGCCGATGATCTTTACCCCCTTTTCGATAAGTATGGAAAGGTCGTCGATGTCTTCATCCCCAGAGACCGCAGGTATCTTTCTACCTCTCTCTCTCGCCCGCGCGCGCGTTTAATCTTATTTTTATCATTTTTTTTATGAATTAGAGTGTGTGATTGGTTGGTGGTGATTGCTGTTAGGACTGGGGATTCCCGAGGATTTGCGTTTGTTCGATATAAGTATGCGGATGAAGCACAGAAGGCAATTGACAAGCTTGACGGTCAGCTTCAGTTCGACGAAAATTCACATTAGCTTGAGCTTTTTCAATTTGAATTTGCTGCTGTTTTTATGCGAGATCAATTTGGGTTTCTCCTTTGCAATCTAGGACGAATGTTGGATGGCAGAGAAATTATGGTTCAATTCGCTAAGTACGGTCCCAATGCCGAGAAAATGTGAGTTTACGGAACGATTTTGTATGTAATTTGTCATACTCCACGTCCATGGCTACGAAGTATGCTTTGATTGATTCCTGAGTTTTGGTTGTTATCAGTCGCAAGGGGAAGGTGATGGAGTCATCATCCAAGGCAAGGGGCAGGTCAAGGAGTCGCAGTCCACGTCCAAGGTGAGAGTCCTTGTCTAAATGCATCTGAACTCGTATCAGAGCTCTGGTGAAGAATTTTATATTTTCTCGAGGTAATTACCCTCATTTATTTGTGAATCAAAACAAAAATTCAATCATTTAGAGTGAGAGGTAATGCAGTCTTCTCTGGTTATGGATGCAATTTTCTTGACTTACATCCGTTCTTTGAGATCACACATTGGTTGGGGAGGAGAACGAAACACTCTTTACAAGGGTGTGGAAACCTCTCCCTAACAAACCTATTCTAAAAACCTTGAGGAGAAGACCGAAAGGGAAAATCCAAAGAGGACAATATCTGCTTGCAGTGGGATTGGGCTGTTACACGTTCTCTGTTTTAGTAGAATTGGTGTGTATGGTTAGAGGTAGAACTAGCTATGCGTGTTAATTTAGTTAAGGGTAAACTTTAACATAAGGACATGATTTCTTGATAAAGACAGGCATTTTGCAAAATAGGCAAACGCAAACTATAAGGATATGATTTGTAATTACTCCTTTATTTAACGTCTGATGCATGGAATGCTGCAATCTCAGTGTTCTATAGTGTATGTTGCATTTTGCAATTAGGCAATTCTAGAAAGTCTTTATCGTGTATGTTCACTTCTGGCCTCGCCTCTTTATTTCACCTACCTAAGTTTAGTGGTAATACATCGTCGGTCATTAGTCTCTTGAATCCATGTCATAGATTCTGTGGATTGTAGAGAAGATATAAACAGAAAGAGCTGAAAGTAAGCTGCTTTTGAATGTTTTAGACTGGTAGATTACAGTCTTTCCTGAACTAGTTTGATGTGTGAATGGGCGCGAGATGGTGGATATCAAATGGGCATTCTAAGCTTGAAGAAATATATTGAAAATCACGTAGTTATTTGCTTTTGTTATTTTTTTTCATTCTTTTTTGAGGTGTCACCAATCATTCTATGAAGCTACCTTAGATTTGTTATGAACTTGTATTTGATTAACTACTGGTGTTGACAAAATCTTATGGGATAAGGAACGGATGGTTAATAAGGCTTCACTTAAATGGAAGTTCTTACCCTTTTAGGCAATTGATTGTAGTCTCATTGTTGCTATTCTACCTTTCTCATATGGTTCCAAAAACATTTCAGGCACCGCGATGACTATAGGGATAGAGATTATAGGAGAAGAAGTCGCAGTAGAAGCCGTGAGAGACATGATCGTGATAGACCCCACAGAAGTGAGAGAGAACGCTATCGTAGCAGGAGTCGTAGTGCTAGTCCTGATCGTATTAAAGATCGTCTGCGGGGAAGAGATGATGTTGAACGGCGTAGTGCTAGCCACTCTGATAGAAGGTACACATACATTCTTAATTTTATTACTCTTTTGTGGGATATTGTCATAAGGCCTTGGTCATGGCATTGGTACTAGCTAGGAAGCACAAACATTTCGTTTTAGGCAAAATGTCCATGTCAGACATGGATGCATCTGGACACGCTACGGCCACATGTCCAACATGCTAAAAAATGTATGGACATGGATGGACGCGCCTTTGAAAAATATTTGACTTAAGATTAGGAGAAAACGAGAGAGAGAGAGAGAGAGAGAGATCTTCTTATAGGATGAATCTTTATATATTGATCAATCCTAAAGTATTTGGATGACAACTTCTTCCTCTAGTCATAGCCAACCAAATTTTTCTATATCTTCTTATAGGATGAATCTTTACTTGTTTTTTTTTTTTTTTTTTTTTTTTTTTTTTTTTAAA